CATCTTCTCTTTCACTATGAGCACGGAATTTCTCTATGGTTTGACAGCCCAATAGCTTTGTACTGTTTTGACTTCTCAAAGACAAAGACAAGGAGCTAGCTGAAAGATCCAAGCTGTATCTTTCTTCGCAATATTCCAAGTGCTGTAGAAACATTATAATTAAACAAATGTTAAAAAATACTAATAGCAAGATAACCTACATCTGACATAAATATGCATTCTTAGTGTCTCAAAGTGGTTATAAAGCCTAAACATTTTTTTACCTTACAGTAAAACTACAGGAAAAATGTTTTCCCCATTTTGGATAGAGTAGGGGAGGGAAATAACCCGCAAGATTTTTTTTTTTTTTTTGCCATTTGTGTCCCATTGGAGAGATGCATTCACTTCCTGTCCCACAGCTAAAACAGGAAGTAAGTGAAATTCCTACAAATTAAAGGGAAACCCTTGGGGGCCCCCAGGTCATCACAACTAGTTTTCCCCATTGAAAGATATCCCCTCTTATTTTATGGGACAACCAAAAATGTGGGATTTTCAGAATAAACTAAGAGGGTCAATATCCCCAACAGGGGATGCAAACAGCAATAAAAACCTAAAAGGAAATCCCATCCCTCTCTACTCTGCTCAAAACTTAGAAAAAGAAAAAAAAAAAAAAAAAGTTCTACTTTTATGCATTCCCTGCATGAAGGAACAAATGTTTAGGCATCAGTATTGAACCCTCCCACCTTTAATTACTGGAGCCCTTATTCAGTCCAGTGCTGTGCCCATCTGCAGCTCTTCTCTCCCATCACTTCCTGGTCTCACAGGCTTTACTGAGGCAGCGGGAGCCATTGGCTCCCACTGCTGTCAATTAAAGCCAGTGATAAGGAAGCGGGGGGGGGGGCCGTGTCCCACTGTGTCTGCAGATGCAAGCAATGAGGCTCAGGAGCAAGCCCACACAAATGTCCCCATAAGAATCCACATCTCCATTTGACCCACCCACTGTGTAGTTCATTCTGTCCTCGATCCAAGTGTTGGTCTGACCCTCCCACCACTAGTGTCACTGGACTGACAGACCCATGTAGTTCTGCGTTACACCAACTGCGCTTAGGAAAGGAAGTTGGATGCCTTATTGATCCCTCCTCCCAGCAGCCAGGCACAGCTCAGGGATGCACAATTTATATCGCTTGGCGTCCAGGACATGCAGCAACATGGCAGGTGTTTTTTTTACATTTAGCCCTGCTGAGGGCAAGCACCCTCTTTAGCCTGGGTTCACACATATGTCTGCTGAAATTGCAATGTCTTTCCGGTCACTGTATGATTTCAGTGCTGGTGAGATTGTGGCTGTCTGTCCACAACTGCCTCTCCCTGACTTCAAAGCAAAAATGCCTCCCACTGACTTCAATGCTGAACACTTATCTCCGCATGACACTATCACTGGTGAATCTAGAATACACCGGTAAAAACTCGCAAAAGGAGTAAATGCACTAAAAATGCAAAATACCATGCGTGTGGATTGCATCTCTGCGAACCACCTCAACTGGAATACATATTTAGCCTGTCAAGTGAATCTGAGTTTGAAAAAGCATCCAGAATCACATGTGTGAGAACCAGGGCAGCTCCATTCACACCTGCGTGTTTTGGGATCATGGCAGAATTGCTGCGATTCTGCCCACAATTGCAAAAAACAGGTTCAAGCGCCATTAATTTCAATGGAACCTAAAATGTGGGGCAGTTTTGCTGTGATTGTCGTGTGGCAAATTACATTGCATGAAGCTTGTTGCCCAAAAGCTCATGTTCCTTTTTAAACAAACTTCACGCGTTGCGAAAACAAAACATAAAAAAAAAAAACCCAAAGCAAACAAAAACACTGGAACACTCAGTATTGGCTTACATGCCCTTTTCACATTATGCATAGTGACTATGGAACAAAATATAAAGCAGAAACCACTGTACTTAAACTGGAACTTTAGTTAGAAAATAAAGTCCTGCTAGATCACATCCAGATGGCCCCTTTTGCAGGTATTGCTATGTAAAACATTAAAAATAAGTGTCTATACTATTTAAAATACAGTAATACACGGACTCACCCTGCTCTGCACATGCTCAGTTGCTCTCTATTTTTAGGCACTGCTGAATCTTAGAGGCCAATCTGCTGACAGCCAAAGGCCTCGCTCACACCATATGTGCAGATTTCACTTGAAGAAATCAGTTTTAATGCATGCTTCAATGAATTTTTATACATGTTGGAGACTCCTGTGCAGAAATATTCTGTAGGTGATACTAGTGCTGTGGTGTGAATAGGGCACAGAACACAAATGATTTTGTTGTGCCCTTGCAGAAAAACTGACATCTCTGCATCATGTTGTGAACAAGCCCTTACACCCCGGTCACATCGGGTGTGACTTGGCATGCAATTTGCATGCCATGCGACTTGCAAATCGTATGCCAAGTCGCACCCTATTGTCCGCAATTAGAGAGGTCAAATTGGTGCGGTTCTGACTTGGTCCGAGCCACACCGATTTCTAAAGTAGTAGATGAACTACTTTTGGTGCTATTTGCATACACATGTGTCAGATGTCTTGCAAATTGCACCTGAAACCGGTATCTCACCCGACTTTGAAATCGTGCAACTTCACTGTAAGTCGCACAATTTCAAAGCCGGGCTTGATGTGACCGTGGGGGGGGGAATTAAAGTGGAGTTAATCCCTCCTATCCTTTACAGCCAAGGAATCTGCTTTTGTTTGACCTGCCATGATGCTGCACATGTGATCAGTTATGACACTACCAATTTGATGGTTTGACAGTTTGGTTGAGGACACAAACAATTGTGACAGTTCGCAATCCTGGCATTATAGGACTGTAACATTTTAAAAACCATTAAATCAATAGGTTTAGTTCCACTTTATGATTTATTGCTGTATAGGGGCTCTGAGCTTCAGCAAAATGGCAGCCTCCAGCAAGAAGAAACCGCAGCAATTCTAGAGGCAATTTACAGCACACACTAATTTTGGTAGCATAATTAATGTGGAATGTTTGTTCCTTGCTAAAGAACATTTTTTATCAAGTTGTTATGGATAAAGTTCAGCTTTAAGCACATTTCAAGGGCAAGTGTGTTTTCATATACATTACTGTACCTCATAAATAATTTGTCCTGATGCCAAGCATTTTCTGTCACCAAATGCAAGCTGCAACAAATGTAGGCTTACATCATTTCCACTAAAACAAAGTAAAAATAAATTATCACGTTATTATAAATACTTGGTGTAAATGACAGCAGGACAATGCAAATTAGGAGCAGTCCAACAATTGTACTTTATAAAACACATTTGTTAGCACTGGCTGTATTAAAAAAAAAATGCAGCTCCAAAAGGGCATAGGGTTGCACAGCTTCAGCAGCATATAAAGTATGGTGGCAGCATATAAATCATGGTCATGACTTAAAAAGGAACCAGTGTCCTGTAATGTACAATTAGGAAAGGTTTTTTTTTTGCTATTAGAAAACACAGTAAGCTTCTCCACAAAAAACAAACAAACCTGTCAATACCCCTTATGAGACCTACTTCTGAAGTGTTTATAGAGCAGCTTGTTTGGTGATGTTTGTATTTAATGTTTCTTGTTGAGGATGGATCCTGGACAGGAGATGTGTGTCCCCCAATTGGATTGTGGTTCTCTTAGGAGGGACAACAAGCAGCTCAGAGTACTCAGGGATTCTCACCTATGCAGGGTGATGGGATCTGATAAAGAGGATCAGGTTCTTAAACTGGACCCAGAATTCAGAGACTTAGAGAGACTTTAGGTGGGAAAGAGCCTCCAACTCTGATTAAGGGTTTTTCAGTCATGTATGGGTTAACCTCACCTACAAGAGGGCTCAAAAAGGGTAAAAAGCTGACAGCAGGTGTCTGAAGTGATGAGTGGGAGTGGACACAGTTGTGGGAGGACTGTGAACTATCTGGATACTGAGACACTGCACGAGTTTTTGGGGCAACTTTAATTTTCTACACTTTTTTTTTTTTTTTTTTTTTTTTTAATAAACTTTTTCCCTCATTACAAAAGGGGACAGAAAGTCTCATATGTGCTACCTGATGTCTCACCTATTATCCAACAAAACGAATGCAGTGCAAATTGTACTGCATTTGTTTCTTCCCTGGCCATACTGGCTGGGGAAAGTGACACAGGGATCCAGAAGTAACATTTTACACCATTTGTGGGTCACTAAAAATGGAGAAGTCAGTGTACGGACTTTCACTGATCGCTCTCCCCTCTACCCCGCAGCACTCGCCATCACCTGAAACTGCATAAAATACCTCTGAGTGGCCTGAACAGCCCAAAGATAGCAACAATTCCGGGGGTCATTCTCAGGCTCTTGAAAAGTAACCGCAGACACAGGAACTTTTCCACCTTCAATTTGAACATGGTATCTGTCAAAAGGAAAAAAAAAGGTGTACATAAAAGTATGAGACATATGCAAAACATGGCTGGCTCAAGCTCTCAGCAGCACAAAGAAAGGCCAAGCCAGCTGCCAATCAGCCATCTGGGTGGATCCTGACACATCGGAATCCCTCAGTCTGGACCGGCTCTGTGACCTCAGCTGAAGAGGTGCTAGAGTATACTGTTAGCCGATTTTGAGTCACAGGAATGTACAAGTGTACTTCTGTGACTCACAAGAGGTATGGCCAAAAGGGCTCGCTTTTAATGTGCTTTAGAGGCTACGATAAGGATGTTGTCAGAGTGTTGCATAACTAATTACAAAGTAATATGACTGTGTGAAGTGAGCATTAAAACCACATTGGAATCTCATTGATATATATAGGAAAACTCCAGTTTATGTTCATTTAAAATAATCAAGCCACAGCAGGGCAATTTTGCTCATACTAATCGTGTATATACATTCCTACCAAATTTAAAGTAAAAATTACTCACTCTCTTCGTAAAGTTTTCATGTTCCATAAGGAAAGATATCCATCAGAAAATCCAACAGCCATTTGGTTAGTTCTGCTTATAAAGCTGAGGGCAGTTACTGAAGTTCCAGATGGGGCTAGCAATTGAAGACATAAATGCCGACGTTCTCTTGCTGCTAATTCACGCAGTTTTGGGATTTCAGCTGGAATCCCACTCATTACTTCCAAGTCTGTAAAAGAAAATTAAAGTAAATTTCAGGTTACAAACTGATAAAAATACTTCAACCAGACAATGACATTTTCAAAATCATGCCAAAAAAATTGGAATTTAGTGACTAAAGAAAACCAAAATGACATTTGCTGTAAAAATAAACATGAATCCTTAAGTGTACCTATTGTATGGCCCCTCCCATGACACACTTTGGGCCCATCGCTATGATGCATGGCTTCTCTGACCAATAAATTGCTATGAGAAATGCAAGCTGAAACTACATGCAGACATTGGATCATTCCTGCCATTTCATTCAACTGGCAATAAGTTTAAACCATTACGTGTTTTTTAAAGCGGAATTCCACACTTGCCTTCAGCTGTACAAGTTTCTCTTCTATAACAAAATTACTAAGGGTACATTCACACCACATGCAGGAGGAATGTGTTGGGCAGTTAGTCCAGCGCAGTCCAACTGCATGACAAGGCAAAAAACCTGGTCTCCCTATCTGCCCAGTTCACACCATTGTGTTGCAGTGGTGTGAAGGCATTATACAAAAGTATTGAGTGCAGTACTCTTTTACAGCACAGTGCAAGGCAACCCACCGCCTTGCACCTTGTGGCCAGCAACACAACTAACTTTACGAGATGTCTGTGTGGAAAAACAAAAAAGGAGCAGTGCAACACACCAAAAACGGCGCTTCATCACTGTGCTGAGCTCAGTCGTGCCACACCGGACAAAAAACAGATTGAACTTCAGCTTTAAAAGCTTCGTGCCACACACTGCTGCATCATCCATTTACAAGCTTAGTGCCACACACTGCTGCATCATCCATTTACAGGGATCTGTCAACTGGAAAGTTACAAGTCACACACCACAGTAACAGAGGGACTCAGATCACTCAGGCTCAAGACAAGTGCCATGACATTACCACACTTGAAATCCATTGTTTACTTCCTCCAGCCCTGTAACCGGTCTGTATCTCTATACAGATCTGGGGTAACAATGCATGAGCCTGTGATTTGCACCTGTAAATGCACTGATCACAGTTGCAATGCTCTGCACGTTTCATTGCAAAGATTTGATAAATGTACATTTTTTACAAACCATTGTTGGCGTTGTCTCTACTGAGACTCCACAATTATTAGAGCTAAATAGCATCTCACTCGCCTCTCATGTTCGAATATGAAAGCTTCATAAGCTAAACCTGCCAGAAGTGATCCAAGTTACCTGCCATTGCCAACACTTTTCTGAAGATGAAGAGTTGTCCTGAAACTTGCCTCACCAATCCAGAACACACACGCAGATAGTAAAGTTTCATGTCTCCTGATATGCGCCCATTTGTGCTAGTTCAGTGGCCCACCAAGCAAGGATATTAGGGTGGAGACATTGGAGCTTGCACCTTAAACAAATCTAAAAAACTGCAGACTTCAAATTTCCCTCGGCTTTCCATTTCTATCTCCACGGTTCTCTTATAAAATTATATCTTAACACTTTACAATATTACAATACAAAAGCATGGGATGCAAATATCATAGCATTCTTGAGGGGAAGAGAGAAGTTGTACCTGATGCTTCTAGTTCATCTTGATTTCCTGATACATCATCTAAGCATAAATCAATAAGAAGAACATGGCCAACATCTGTGACCACAGCAGCAACGCCAAAGAACCACCTCAAACTTTGATGTAAATGTTGAGTGCTTGCGCTAGCTCCACCATGATTGATTATAGGTTCAACAGAAGTCACCTAAGTTTTCATGGAAATGGAGAAAGACAAAAAAAGGGAGGTGGAATGTTAGTCATAAAACCCTTCAGCAAAGTACGTCGTTATATCTTAGAAGATGTTACATCAGACCTATGTAAGCCAAAGTACGTGCTATGCAACAGACACTTCTGCCAACATTTTATCCAATTAAAGCCCGATTCCAAATACTTTTTAATTTTGGATAGAGCAAGGAGTTAAACGTGGACCTTTAAGTCCTGTTAGATCACTTGATGCTGGCCCCTTTTGCAGGTATAGCTATGTGGAAAACATTAAAAAATAAGTACCTATATTGTTTAAAATCCAGTAATACACTCACCCTGCTCTGTACATGCTCAGTTGCTCTCTATTTATTGGCACTGTCCCAAAAATGTAGTGGCAGATCTGCTGACAGCCTAAAGATTTACTGCAGCTCACAGCAATTTTGCAGACTCCAGCAAGAAGAAAACAGGAGCAATGCAGGAGGTAATTTACAGTGCACACTAATTTTGATAGCATACTTATTAATGTGGAATGTATGTTCCTTAGTAAAGAACATTTTTTATTCAGGTTTTACCTGGGGAGTGGGGTTGTGGAAACGCATTTTGGTTCTTAAAAGATTTTCCATCATTTTCAGTCCTAATATGTATTGAGGTGGAAGCTCCTTACAAGATACACCGTTTACAATAAAACCCCAATAGAAGATTTAACCATTCTACCTAAAATAAAAGGTTTCTGCTCTAGTACAGTTATTTTATTTGCCCCATTTTCCACCTATCCAAAGTCTTTACTCACCTGTCCACACCGTGTAAACAAGGAGTGATTCAGCAGCAGCTGGGCCGCCTTCCCATGGATAAAGTAGGAGCATGGATGGGTGAGTAAAAAAAGAGAAATTTGAGGGAGTGTGGAATTAAATAACTAACCTGCATTTTTTCCCAGAATGCAGAACCATTATGCAGAGGATCGGAGTCCCTTTTGGGACTTAAAGGCAGCTTTTAAAAGGTATTTTATCCTTGGAGCTCTGCTACAGACATTTGACTTATAATTCAAAATTGTGAGTAGGCAGGCTCTTTATTTCCAAGCAGACATGCATATGTCATTTCTGCAATAAAAGAAACTTTCTTGGTGGCAATCTTCTTTAAAATATGCAGTTCCGTTTACTTTCTTGGCACACCTTGGTGCTAGAATAAATTAAGTCCTCTGAGCATGTGCAGGGGTTGCGTTATTCCCCCACTGTCTACTTAAGACTGCCATAGACCCGACACCCAGAAGAAACTGGGAGAACATGTTGGTGCTAGTGAGGGAGTTTGTGAACGTTGCATTGCTGGAATGAAGGAGTATACTTGGACTTTAGTTCTACTGTAACAACCTCAGCAGGTCTGTGGTCCACCACTCGTATGGACAACTAAGAAATCATTGATGCAATAAAGGAATACATTTAAAGTACATTGAAAACACAAAACACACAATGTAAGTACATACCGAACCAGGAAGTACAACAGCTTTAACTACTCTTGAAATGCTAACATCATATAGGCAGAGAACACTGCTTTCTGCTTCAACTAGTCCCACAAGTAATCCAGTCCTTTTTTGCCAGGAAAACTCTTTGACGGTCACAACAGTAGGAGGTCGTTCAGTCACACCGCTAAAATGATAGGCAGAAAGCCTTTCACCTGTTAAAGCATTAATAACTTCCAGCTGTGGTCCACAAGCCAGCCAAGCTAGTCCAGCTTTACCTTTAAAAACATAAGAGAAAATAATTATTGCCAAAAATGTACACAAACATGTCCATCACTAGGAAAGCATTTCTGCAGTTCTTAAAGAAATTTTACAACAAAAAAAAACAAAAAAAAAAACCCACCATATCTCCACCTCCCTGGCGGTCTAACTAAGCAATATTTTTGAATGTCAAAGCGGTACATTGTTTTGCATGGAAATTCGTTTTTTTATATTGTAGGCCTGTAATTCTTAGGAATTACTCACTTAAATCTGTCCAAACAAGAGTCTAGTAAACATCCCGGGTATGAGAACGTTTGAAATACAAAATCAAATAATGTAATTATAAAAGATATAATACATTTAATTCAATAATGTAATCAAACCAAACACACTAAAATTTGAAATATAGCGCCAAGTTCCACATCACTGAGCTCAGTCGCAGAATCGTTTTCAGTGTTTGATGACGAATTTCCCCACTAATCATTATCGCTGAATTCTGCAAGTGATTCTAATTCACTATTGTGGTTTTCTAGCTGGTCTAAAACCACTTTTGACCTAAAAAGGGACACTTTTTTGATGCCATGGACATTCTCAAGTTTCCAAGCAGAAAAATGGTAAAATTACAGGCAGAGCACTGGACAAAGCACTAGGGACAAAATTGAGGTGAAATGGTTTGATACAGTAATATAGTACTAACAGATTACAATGTATTGTGTGTATGTCATATTTTTACTTCTTTGAATCTCCCACAAATTCCACCCCCCTGCGTACCGATGCTCGCAGGGAAGGGAACCCGGAAGCCAGATGATGGCATCGACTGGAGGACATCGGGGAATCGTAGGACAAGCACTACAGTGTAATCCCAAGTGTGGCTCGGGGTTACCGCTTTAGGTACTGTAAATTAACCCCGAGCCACACTCAGGATTACCGCTGGGAAGGTTAATAAATACCTCAAAACAGTCTATGTTCCAAAGAGGTCATTTGGGGGGGGGGGGGGGGGGGGGGGGGGGTAATTTGTGCTGTCCTGTCCTATGACATTCACACAAACCAATCAATATAAAACTTTTTGGGAATTGTTTACCAAAGACATGCAGCAGAATACATTTTGGCCTAAATTTATGAAGAAATTAGATTTTTTTTATTGCATATATGTTTTATAGCAGAAAGTAAAAAAAAAAAATATTTTTTTTTCTAACTTTTTAGGTCTTCTTCGTTTATATAAGAAGAAAACCCAGTGGTGATGAAATCCTACCAAAGAGAGCTCTATACGTGTGGAAAAAAAGAATCTAAAATTTCATTTGCGTACAGTGTTGTATTACCGCACAATTGCCAGTTAAAGTAGCACAGTGCTGAAAAGCAAAAAAAAAATGGCCTGGTCATGAAGGGGGTAAAATCTTCTGGAGCTCAAGTGGTTAAAGTGACAGCACTCCAATTAAGGTCTAGGTTTAATATCCCAATACTGGACAGTATAACTAAAAGCAAAACAATTTAGGTTTTTTTTTTTTGGATAGAGTGGAGAGGGATTAAAACAACAGCCATGTTTTATTGCTACCTGTGCACCTATTACAGAGATTCACCCTCCCTACTAGTGCTGTTTACCAATATTGCCAAAGGGGAAAAAAAGAAGAAAAAAAAAAAAAAAAGAAGCAAACTTTGGGTTGTCCCCAGAGCAAGAATAGTGGGCATATCTTCCAACGAAGACACTAGTTCTTGTGACAACCAAGGATTCCCTATCCTCAGAGGGATTTTTTCTCACTTCCTGTTTTACCTATTCATGGTCAAATGGGAGGAGGTCATCTGGGCCGTCCACAGACCACAGTTGGTGCTGTGGTAAAGGTACATAGATGACATCCTGTGGAATGGTACTCATGATTCTCTTATGTCCTTTATGGATGAACTAAACTCTAATGTTAGAGGCATCGTTTTGAATTGCACATACATTTCTTGGATTTGTTGAATACAGCTAATGAAGGTATAATAACCACAAGTACTTTCTTCAAGCCAACAGATAGGAATCTTTTATCACTTTAGGAAGTGGTCACCACGAGTCATGGCTTAAGTCAGTTCCCCGGAGCCAATTTGTACGCTTAAGGCGCAACTGCACTCAGTTACAAGGCCAACGCTCTGAGAAAAAAAAAAAAAAAACGTATAAAAGGATATAATGTGTTGCAACTAGACCACACCATAGTGGAAGTGAAAATGTTGGATAGGGAGTATTTGCTTAGAGATCAGATGGATCCGGGTAATCAATATGTTTTAATTACTACATTTTCAGTTCAACATTATGCTGTTAAAAATCATTCTTAAATATTGGCCCATTATCAAAAATGAAAGCATCCTGGGGCCTTTGTTGCCTGATAAGCCTATGGTTCTATTTAAAGGGGTTCCTGCTTTGCGGAATAAGATTGCATATAATGTGGTGGATCCTAGTTAGTTCGACCTTTTTTTTTTTTTTCTCTTTAAGACCTCATTTTTTTAAATTGGTTTTTAACCCATGATACATTTTTGCTTTGCCAGATCAATAGAGCTGGTAACAAAAAGCGTTGCGCTCTTTAGTCCATGGCCACATCTAAAACATACTCTATTAAATCTCTCATCACATGTGCTTTTCACAGCCTAGACTACTGCAATGCCCTTGTGGCTTGCAATATGTGCACAGGACTATTCAAGCTTTACATGTTAGACTAAGTGAACATATTGGCAACATTAAGAGGTTTCACTGGCCACAGTGTGTCCAAACATTACTCTTTTCCTTGGAAGTTTTATTTGCATTCCATTACATGGATTCTGGTGCCGAAACCGAAAATTCAAAATGCACTTGGCCGAAAACCGAAATGCGCAGTTTTTAAAATTATATATTTTTTGGAAAAAAATAAAAGAAAACACAACAATATATACCCCAATTTTTGTTTGTAAAATACGAATGAGGATGTTACGGCGAGTAAATAGATACCCAACATGTCACACTTTGAAATTGTGCGCGCTCGTGGAATGGCGTGAAACTGCAGCACTTAAAAATCTCCATGGGTGATACTTTAAAAATTTCTACAGGTTAGCAGTGTAAAGTTACAGAGGTCTAGTGCTAGAATTATTGCTCTTGCTCGGATGTTTGTGGCGATACCTCGCGTGTGGTTTGAACACCATCTACATATGTGGGCATGGCCTACGTATATGTTCACCACTATGTGCGAGCACGGGGCACTTTAAACTTTTTTTTTTTTTTTTTTTTTTTAATGGGTTTTTTTTTTTGCACAATTCCTTTAAAAAACATTTTAATCACTTTTATTATCACAAGAAATGCATGCATCCCTTAGTTATAATTAGTGACAGGTCCTCTTTATGGAGAGATATAGGGTCAATAAGACCCCATATCTCTCCTCTGCAATGTAAAGCATTGGTTCAAATAAAAAAAAGCATTGATCTAGTGCTCCGGTCCTCCAAAGACATAGGAGATGCATGGCAGCCATCTTTCGTTCACTCATCTCTATGCCCAGCGCCAGGATCAATGGTTTCTCAGGTAAGGCTGAACTATCGAGCGGATGCGGCAAGGGGCAGGGTTTTTTCGGCACCTGTATCGGTGCTTTTTTTCCAGTTCGGCAGAAACGTTTCCGCCACCAACATTTTTAGTCATTACCCGTTAACTGCATTCCCAGGAATCTTCCAGGACAGCTTAGATAGATGAGAGATAGGCAGCTCCTCCCACCAGGAAACACCTGATCCACTTTTTCCTTAATAAAATAGCCTCTCCATCCCTGGGTCCTCAGTATAGAAAAATAACGGAAGGTCTAGGAGAGATCATAAGCATACCAGTATCTATGTATAAATCATCCTTGTTATGACAACATGACCACTCATAACACTTCATCGATCGGGTGGGAACTACGCTGTCCCAGAAGATTCTTGGAAATACAATTAACAGGTAATAACTGGTTTTCCCCAAGTCATCTTCCAGGAAAACTTGAGAGGATTAAACAGAAATACGTACATTAGGGTGTGACTGCTGCATGTAAGACCTTCCTGCCGAATGCTTGTTCTTTATTGACGATTAGGTCTAACTGGTAATGCCTGGCGAAAGTGCTGAAGCTGGTCCATGTTGGGCCTTGCAGATCTGTCCGGGGGCGGCTCCAGCTTTTTCCGCCCGTGAAGCTGCAGTGGCTCTTGTTGAGTGTGCCTTTAGACCAGACGGTGGGTGTTAGGCCTGCAGCTTTATAACCTTGAACCTTCTGAGATAGCTTCCTTTAGCCATCTTGCAATGGTACTTTTAGAGGCTTGGGAACCCTTTTTTGGACTTTGGAAAAGGACAAAGAGGCTTGGTAGAGTTCCTCCACTCCTTTGTACGTTCGATATAAGTGATCAGGTACATTCTTGCATTAATCTTGTTAAAGCCCTCCTCTTTGGCGTTGCTTGGGTTCCCACAGAATGAATGACCGTATCACAATGTCTTATGTCCTATGAATGTGTGACGCCACTTTAGGAAGGAACGCTGGATCCGGATTTAGGATAATCTTATCCAAAAGGATTGTGCAATAGGGTTCTAATACCGTAAGTGACTAATTCGCCAATTCTGCATGCCGAAACTACTGCTACTAGAATAAATGGTTTAGAGAGTTAAATACTTGAAAGTGCATCCAAGTATCCAGGGATCTGTCACACTTAGTTTCTTCAAGAGGGAAAATCATTACCCTCCAGTGCAATTGCGACCACTGTACACCTAATATGGCTGTAGTCACCCCCCCGATCAGCTTCATCACATCCCTGATTGATGCTTCTATGAAACTTCCTGTGCCTTGGAGATTGAGAATTTTTTCTCTCATCGGGTATAGTTGGGAGTTCGTTGAATCCAGGATGTATCCTAAATATGGAATTCTGTTGGAAGGCACTAGTTGAGATTTTTTCGAGTGGATTAGCCAACCTAGACCCATCAAGAAAGATATTGTATCCAATACCCGGCTTTCAACATCCTGGTCCCTGTAGACAGCCATCAAGGCTGGGAGAGCATGTAATACGGTGTGATGTTAGACCCTCCATGTCTCATTAAAGAGAATCGGTCACCAAAAAAATCACCACATGGGGACTTTTTCTCCCCTACATGATGAGATAAAAAAAAAAAAAAAACACACACACCAACACACTAGGTAATTGTTTGGTTTTTTTTTTTAAATTGTAAAAAAAAAAAAAAAAAAAAAAAAAAAGTTACACCCAAAGACATAAACTCAAAATTTTGAGGTCCCCCACATAAAAACGTAAACACACACACGTCGGGGTGCCTACATGTGAAAGTGTCGATTGCGACACACGTTACATATTGCGGCGCAAGCAGGAACGAGAGCAATAACTCTAGCACCAGACTTTCTCCGTAAAACTAAAGTGATGACCTATAGGGGGGGCTTTAAAGTATCACCTAAAATACAGGGTACTAAAGTTTGTCGCCATTCCATGAGCGCACGCAAATGTAAGATTTGACATGTTGGGTATCTATTTGGGTATAATGGGTAATTTATTGCATCTTTGTGCCCTAAAATTAACTTGTGTTTTTTACTGTAGTTTTGCGTTTCCTAAACCTTTACGGCAACGTCATGTGACATAACAAATTGGAACTACCACTATTTTTTTTTATCTGGACAAGTAGATTGCGACACCCATTTAGTCCCTGGAAAAGATGTTTTTATCAAAAAAAAAATGTCAACAGCCGTGAATAATACATTTTAGTAGTACATATAAAACGTACTGTAGAATCCCCAAAAAAGATGTTAAACATACCTGTTGTAAATTTTGCCCGAAGAACAGAATCCAGCTGTATATCATCTTCCTGAAGTGCTTTTACAGTTGCATCAGGAAATTGCAGGAACTCACTGGTTACTTGTGCAGACAGATTTTGCATCTTTTTTGCCTAAAGCCACAAAATAGATTGTAAAAGAGCAATTATCTAAAATGAAACCCATCACAATTAGCGATGTGATCTATCTAAGGCTAGGTTCACACGGTTGTGGATCTGTGAACCACGTTTGCTCAGGCACCACACACAGTCTATTTGAATGTGCTGCAGTGCCCGTTTCATTCAGGAAAAAAGTGTTTGTGCCATTGTTAAAATTGTAACAGCAGGAAATTGCTTGGCGCTTTTTGCACCATGCCCTCTCTCAGCAGTTCCCACACCCACAAATCAGGTGCGATTTTAGATGCACGGGGGTGCCATTAAGAACGACTGTAAAGAGATACGCATTTTGGCTGCTGGAACAACTGCGGTTCCCGCATTCACAATATTGTGAAACTAGCCTAAGAGTAATTACCAATTTAGAATAGAGCATAGAAAAAAAAAAAAAAAAAAAAAAAAAAAAAACACAATTCTTTTACTATGCATGTCACAAAAAAGTTTAAAAGTTTCAGCAGTTTTTGAAGCACAGAATTTGTACAGAAAGTTTTCCCTTAAAAGTGTGTGTTACCAGAAAATTAAAACAGTAAATAGCAGAAATTAAATTTTGAATGCATGCATTGCATACTAGCACATTATATAAAACGAAGCCCTCCAACAGCACGCAGTCACACCGCCGTAAAGGCTTCCATCTTCACCTATCTTCCTTCCGGGTTCATAAGCTCCAGCCATCTGAATGGCTGAGCCACAATGAGGTCACTCCATGCGCATGGGAGTCATGGACCACGGCAGTGCTCTGAAGGGATGGCACAGTCAGGCTATTCCTTCAGAGCGCATGCGCCAGCTAAGAAAAAAAAAAAGCCCGAATATCTCCTAAACAGTGCATGTTGAAAGGAAATTAATTTTACGCACAGGTAAGCTTTATTAAAAATTAACCATATTCCCACCGCCCTATAGCAGATATACTGCTACAGGGTGGCAGGGGTATGCAAAATCACATATATACACACGTGATTTTGAATTTCGCGGCTGCAGCTGTCAATCACCGGGTCCCGGCTGCCGATTACCCACCGGCGCCCGGTGATTACCAATGATCTCCGACGGAGAGGAGGGCTGATTTGTTTACCAACAGTCGTCCTCCCTGTCAGCTCAGGCACACTGCTCTGGATGTGCTGTTTCCTGACAGTAAAGCACACAGACACTGCCCCCTTACAGTGAAGCACACAGACACTGCCCCCCAGTAAAACACTCCCAGCACACAGTTAACCCTTTGATCACCCCTCATGTTAACCTCTTCCAGCCCAGTGCCATTAGTAGTGTCAGTGCTTTTTTTTTTTTTTGTAGCACTGATCACTGTATTGGTGTCACTGATGTCAGTGACACCAAGTCAGTTCCCTCCAGTGTCAGAATGCCCGTCGCAGTGCCGCTATAAGTTGCTGATTGGCGCCATTATTACTATAAAAAAAAAAAAAAAGAATTCCAGTATCTATACCGCCATTTGTAAACACTGTAACTTTCACGTAAACCAATTAATGTACACATATTGGGATTTTTTGTTAGCAAAGACATGTAACAGAATACATTTTGGCCTAAATTTATGATGAAATTTGATTTTTTTTTATTGGACAGGTTTAACCTCCCTGGCGGTCTGATTATGTCAATATTTTTTGAAAGTCAAAAGCAGTACATTGTTTTTCATGGAAATGATTTGTTTTATATTGTAGGCCTGTAATTCTTAGGAATAACTCACTTAAATCTGTCCAAACAAAGAGTCTAGTAAACATCCCAGGTATGATAAAGTTTGAAACACGAAATCTTAGATTATAATTATAAAAAAAAATTAATAAATGTAATTCAATGATGTAATCAAACCAAACACACTGAAATTTGAAATAGAGCGCCAAGTTCCCACATCACTGAGCTCAGTCGCAGAATCGTCCTGGTCGTCACTTTCACTGTCTAATGATGAATTTCCCCACGAATCATCACTCAAGTCTGCAAGTGATTCTAGTTCACTATTGCCGTTTTCTAGCTAGTCTAAAACTGCTTTTGACTAAAAGGGACGTTTTTTGGATGCCATAGACGTTCTCAAGTTTCCAGGCAGAAAGAATGGTAAAAGTGCAGGCAGGGCACTAGGGACAAAACTGAGGTGAAATGGTTTGATACAGTAATTTAATCCTAACAGATTACAATGTATCGTGTGTATGTCACGTTTTTACTTTCTTGAATCTCCCGCCGGTTCCGCCCCCCTGCGTCGCGGCGCTCGCAGGGAAGGGAACCTGGAAGACAGATACCAGCATGGGCCGGAGGACATCGGGGGATCACAGGACAAGGTAAGTTACACTACAGTGTAATCACGAGTGTGGCTTGAGGTTACCGCTTTTGGTACTGAAAATTAACCCCGAGCCACACTTGGGATAAACGCTAGGGAGGTTAATAGCAAGTCAAAAATATTGTTTTTTTCTCAAAACCTGTCTTTTTTAAATACAATGCCTTGAAAAAGTAATCATACCCCTTGAAATTTTCCACATTTCGTCATGTTACAGCCAAAAATGTAAATGTATTTTATGTGATAGACCAACACAAAGTGGCACATAATTGTGAAGTAGAAGGAAAATGATAAATGGTTTTAAACATATTTTACAAATAAATAGCTGAAAAGTGTGGCGTGCATTTGTATTCCCCTTTACTCAGATACTCCTAACTAAAATCAAGTGGAACCAATTGCCTTCAGAAGTCACCTAATTAGTAAATAGTCCACCTGTGTAATTTAATCTCAGTATAAATACAGCTGTTCTTTGAAGCCCTCAGAGGTTTGTTAGAGAACATTAGTGAACAAATAGGAGATCCACAGGTCAGGTGGGAGAATCTGTCCACAGGACAACTATTAGTTGTGCACTCTACAAATCTGGTCTTTATGGAAGAGTGGCAAGAAGAAAGCTATTGTTGAAAGAAAGCCATAAGAAGTCCTGTTTGCAGTTTGTGAGAAGCCATATGGGGGACACAGAAAACATGGAAGAAGGTGCTCTGGTCAGATGAGACCAAAATTAAATTTTAGCCTAAAAGCAAAACGCTATGTGTGATGGAAAAGTAACACTACACATCACCCTGAACACACCATCCCCACTGTGAAACATGGTGGTGGTAGCATCATGTTGTGAGGATGCTTTTCTTCAGCAGGGACAGGGAAGCTTGTCAGAGTTGATGGGAAGATGGATGGAGCCAAATACAGGGCAATCTTAGAAGAAAACCTGTTCAGAGTCTGCAAAAGACTTGAGACTGGGGTGTCGAGCAGGACAACGACCCTAAACATACAGCCAGAGCTACAATGGTATGGTTTAGATTAGGGATGCACCGAAATTTCATCCACTGAAACATATCGGCATTCTGCTGATAGGAAAAATTTAGATGATACAGGAGATTGTGTGTACTGCAGATGTGAGGGGGGCGGCAGAGAAAGTCAGGAGAGGAGCAGTGAATACAGTGACTAGCTGTCACTATATGTCAGTGCCGGTTTTTAAAAGCAATTACCAGCTTTTTTTTCCTTCACTATAGCTCACAGACTTAGCGGTCACTTTCCACCCAGCTAAAAGAACCAGTTTCCTTTTAGTTTCTTTAAACAAAGTTTCCTTTAGCTCCAGGGAAAGTGACAGCTAATTCTGTGAGCTATAGTGAAGAAAAAAAAAAAGCCAGCAATTGTATTTAAAAAGAAATAGCAACCACCATTTTGTTCTCCAGGACTATTGCTTTCACAAAATGTAATGTTTGGGGCTTCTACATAACTTTTAGCCAAAAAAAAAAAAAGTTGTTTTTTTTACATATACTGTATGTGAGAAATGTCAAAAAATGCTGCAGTAGGCAAGTGGTTAATTGAAATTGCTGGGTGGACAGCCCCTGCATGCAGCTTTGGACAATTGATATGATTAAGCATGAGATCGTGTGAAAAGCGTTAACAGGTCCTGTATTCATGTCCTGGTGTTTTGTGTGTCCTATGGATCAAGAAATACACACTATATTCATCTATCCTCCGGTGTGCGGCTGACCCTTCTTCCTATTGAATTGATGTGCCATCCTGCAGGAGTTGGACTGCCAATGCAACCTCTGTAGGGTCCAGGTATCACCTCATGCTACCAGTAGTGACACTGACCATAGCCAAATGCAAAACTAGTGAAAAACAGTCATAAAAAATGAGTAGGGAACAAAAATGTCAGTGGCCTCCAGCAAAAGCAGCCGAAACTGATTAACAACCCCCTCTGCTACTTAACTGACCAAAACAATATCCCAAGAGTTTGACTTGATGCTATACTCTGATTAAAAAGCGTTCCTTAGGAGGAGCCCTTGACGTCACGCCGCCGGATCAGGAGGTCCGGCGGCCACCTAATTGTTCACACTGGTCAGTGTATTTAGCTATTCATGCTACTACTCCTCACAGTCACCTTGTGCGTTTATTTTATCCATGTATGCTCGTTTGATACATTACTAATTTATACTTAATAAATCCTTTGGAATACAACACTATGAGCACCTATATCTTTATTGCTTTGCACTGAGCTCCCACACCTCAGCCCAGTATTCCAGGTGACCTGTCCAGGCCTAGGAAGCAAGCCCTAAGACCAGACCAGTATTCCCGTTACCTACCACCCAAACGGAGGGACCACCTGAGGATCATTCTATCACCAGGCAGTGACCTCCGGCTAGTTGGGATCTCTATATGCGCATTAAGATTGCGCTTCCGGTGAGTGGGCAATCTTTCCATACCTTCACATCGGGATGCTGGAGCAGTGCTCATATTGATTAAAGTCACGATTTATCATTTTGGACCGTTCACCTATTTAGTATACCACACTGGACTTTACATCTTTTAGTAATTTTTGTACAAGACTATCATATTGTTACCATTTTACTTAGCGCTGCACTTTCATTTTCTATAGCCAAATGCAATACTAGTGAAAAAACAGTCAAAAAAGATGAGTAGGGAAACAAAAAAATGTGCATTTATTATTTTGTCCAAA